CAAGTGCACACCCTCTCTAAGTGCACACAAACGCTGAGTCCCGAGAGCGTGCACTTATAGAGTTCTCACTGTATTATTGTTTTTGTAATGTTCCGTCCGCGCAATTTTTTAATAGTATAAAGTTGGGTTATTTAAATATGTTTTATATTTGTCTTTGATACGAACAAATTTTTTGTTAATCGGGTATTTGGATATAATTTCAATAACTGAATTCAGTGTATCAAAACTTTATTGATTGATACATTCTTGATAATTTTATCAAAAAACACTTTGATGTTTTAACATTTACGATACGATAACTTTCAAAAATGCGGCAGTTTTAGCTCTTCAATTCCTTGACATTGACGATAAAGTTAAAAAAATTAAATCAAATGAATAGAATAAATAAATAAAACAAAAAAAAAAGTTTGTCCGCTAAACGTTCAACAGATATCGGTTGAAATAAAACAGATTTATCGAAACTAAATATATTAATATGTCATGTTTAATGTTTTTTTCTGTTTATGATGAAATTAATTTGTTGTGGGTATCCATGTCAACATCTCCACCACCAATATGTCCCTATTGGTTATTATAATAAGGTTATTCCCACTCACCCCAATTCTATGTCTAAAATCGACACAGTGTAGATAGTACTGGCAATGGCAAAGATGACATTAATGGTGACAGTGGGAAAGATATTACTGTCTGAGGCAATATTGTCGATGGTGATAGTGCTGGTGATAATACCATTGACCATAGTGAGGATGAAACATTAGGTGATGTGGTTGTGGCAAATTGTTCTCTGGGCTTCCGTTCACCTCGCGCATTGAGAGCTATATAAATATTTAATTTTTTTTTTAAAAAAATTATACCTGACAAATTAATACATTAATAGTTAATAGTCACCCTTTTATGTCACTGAATGTATGTCTGCCTTGTATTTGTTCTACCTCAATGTAGTTGCGATACATCTCTGGCGCGCTAAACGTATATTGTGTATGTCGATCGGCTGATTTTATTTCTGTCGAGAAAACGTTGCTTTGCGCATGGCGTATTGTCCCTTTCCATGGCTCCTCCCAAGTTTGCATGCTCGCGTGCAGCACTGTACTGTATATCACTATTATTACGAAATAAGAAAATACTTTAGCCGTATAACATTGTTATACAACTATCATTAATTCGGGCACATGGATATAAGCAAATAAATTGTAAGTACGAACACTCCATAATTATATTGTATTGTCATACAATAAAACTTATACGCATAAAAAATAAAAGTTAAACCATATAATATTAGTTGTCCATCACAGAATGTAGTAAAATCAAGTTTGGATACCCCACTTACAAAGAAAAAGCTTTACTTCTTGAATCAGCTTTTCGAAACTAGTTGTAGTTGTTGGAGTTGGTTTTTCCTTGTTGCATTTTTGATTACAAATTGGATTTGTTTTTCTTGGTATAGTTTATAAAGGCTAATAAGTATATTTATGTTTATATCGAACCGTAAACTACTAAATTACTGTCGATATCAAATAATTAGTACAATATAACTAACAATCGTTCTATAACAATTCTAAATTGACATACAACAAAAATGACTCGGTGAAATGACCTGTCGATGAAAGACCTGTCGGTGAAATAATCCCGTCGGTGAAATGAGTGTCGGCGAAATGACCTGTCGGCGAAATGATTGTCTATGAAATGACTGTCGGTGAAATGACTGTCGGTGAAATGGCTGTCGGTGAAATCGGCTGTCGGCAGAATGATTGTCAGCGAAATGATTGTCAATCAAATGATTGTCGATGAAATGACCTGTCGGTGAAATGATACTGTCGGTGAAATAATACTGTCGGTGAAATAGTAGTCTGCAAAATAAACGTCTGCCGAAGTGATTGTCGATGTTGTGATCGTCTCCCGGATTTACATAATGAAACAATTGGTATCATCGCTGACCAGACAAGAATCAAACAAGTGTAGCCAAAGTTGAATTTTGTGTTTCATCGTCGTGCTATTGTTTATAAATGGATTAAAGGAATCAGACAATGTGCTTTTACAATAATGGTCAGCCGCATCAAAACACGATTTTCATTGCAAGATTACTCTTTTTAACAATTTATAAAACTCTATCTCGTGTTTCTCTAGCACTTGACTTTAGTATGTTCAAGCATATGTTGCTTTGAGTAAGTGTCCTAAATCGGAAAATGTCTAATCATGAGTTTACAAAAGAATGCTTTCCTGAAGTAATCAAAGAACAATGACGCTTAAACAAATACAACATTGTTCCATCTACTTACATATTAAACTTTATAGTAACAAAAGATCTTAGGATAAGCCTCAATATTAGCGTCATTTTTGCGATAGCTGATTTGTCGTTCGATATCGAACTATTCGATTTTAGTACCGATTGTGATGCTAGCCATAGTGATAGATTTCTTGCGCTGAGTGAGCTTATTGATGTTAGAAATAATACGATAGGAGCATTGCGAAATTAACTTTGTTTGGTAACTCTATCACTCTATCGGGCAGGAAGGCTAAATTAATTTGTAAAATAATTGAAAGAATATTAACGTACAATTTTAAAATTCTGGTTTTATTCGAAAAAAAAATTAATTAATTGTTGAAAAATAATTGTCGTCACGTCATCGAGGAATAAGCGGCTTCCATTTTTTATCGCCCTTTATCGACAATCTTTTTGAGTGTTACACGTGTCAATCATTTGTCGTTCTTAACTATTCTGCTATACGTTATACACTCAACTGTCATTTAAAAGCTATTTTTGGTATACTTAAACAATACATATCTCTTTCCTTAATAGCAACTGTCAGATTACATAAACAAGAAGCAATTGCTATTGACTAGCTAAATTCGGGCAGAGAATGACTCTCCTGCTTTTAGTGAAACAAGATTGAAACTAAGTGACCTTAGTATGAACAACTAATTAGCGTATTTGCCACGGGAATAATTGCGGGACAAAAGGTGTGACAATACATCAATAATTTACCAGGGATCGAACCATTAATAATGTACTTTAAGTACATTAATTTTATAAAAAAATTGAAAGTAATTGGAACGTTATGAGGTATTCAGAAACTAGCTAAAATCGTTATAAATATTTTAACGACGCTTATTATCTGTCGTTCTGTTTCTATTGAGCTGCGACAGGGTACCATGTGAAATTGAATAGCTTTTTATATTATTATGCGCTGCCGACAAATTAGCAGATATTAGAATATACTATTGGAGTAGTATCACAAACATAGGGTTATATGAAAAGCCATATTCGACTGCCGATCATTGGCAATCACTTGTCGATAACTTTCAATAGTGAAAAACGCAAACTTCAAATCCCTAAGATTTTTGAAGGAAGCAAGCTATGCTCATAACAACTATACCAATACACAGTATATTACATGCGCTATAAAAAAATATGATAATTTTTTTATAAAAATAAATAAACTAAAAAAGATTTATATTTGTAAACTTACGATCCTGTCAAAGGAAACGAAAGTAGTACTATTTTTTTATAAAGTGTGTGTTATGGGGTATGCCATAAAGTTTCTTCATTATGCATGTCATATAATGAGGTTGTAAAGTAGAAACGATGTTTTGTTAATCGCCACATGTTTATGACATTCTTCCTTTACGTAAGCCAGTCCTAAGTTTAAATTATGACTTAATCAAAAGAAAAGGTTATGATCAGCAATTACAAGAGTAGTTAAAGAGTATAATCTGTTAGAAGAAATTGAAAATGAAACAGGCGAAAAGAAACAAAAAATTATTATATTTAAAAAAGGAACTGTTAAACGAACGACACTGGGAGTGATAATATTCCTTGGCAATTCTCAATTGCATAAATTGATAAAACGTGTTCTTGATACATGGGTTTTGCCTCACACTCTCGGTTCTAAGGCCTATTATCTCGGAAAACCCAAATTTAAATAATCTGATAGCGGGGGTGGCTGACCAGAACCCCTTATTTTCACGAGTGTTGATCTTGGATCTTCGTCTTAAGAGAAACCTTTTGATACGAAGTAAAGAATTTGGAATATAGCATAGGCATGCTTAACTTTGCATGTGACAGCATTTGTAGTCAGCATATTAATCTTTAACTTGCACGCTGTTGAGAAGCAAGAAAAGTGATCCGAACGGAAACTTTCTAATCATTTTTTTGAAAAAGATGATTAATTAATCGACAGCTCATGTGACGCGACATAGGTCAATTGAAAATTTCTTGTAAGTCTCGGAGAACGACTTTTTCGTTCCAATGTATGATAATAATAGAAATTTTTAACAATTTGTGCACACACGCACAAACCAACCTAATTTGGTGAGCGTTAGGAATATTGAAGAGATATTCTTTACATGTTAATAAACCATTGTATAAGGATTTATTTTTATACCGTATTATATTAAATGCCTGTTGATTATTGTTCTGCTCTTTCTGTCTAATATAAAGAACGACACCCCGTATAAGCTTCCAAACTTTAATTAAACCAAGTAAGCAAAACTGTATTCTGGGGTATTAATGAGATAACATTACATCGGTAACCTCGGCCGGTTCTGCTCAGGCGACAGGTTACGCAGCGGATTCTTCGGAACAAAACTTCCGCTACGAAAAAGTATAAAGAGAAGTATGAAGACAGTCGTTTAAACAAACCAAATTTTTACATTTTAATTTGCTAGTATGTCACCTACTTTCCCAACTACTTCACCACCTAATTCCATGAACATTCTTACTTCTCACGAATATGATATCTTACTTAATCCACCTTATACGCTGAGCGTCTCCCTCGATTCTCTTATCAAACCTAAACGCGGCCGAAACAGAAACCATTGTTCAAAGCCTCCTCGGCCGTCTAATTCTTGGATTCTTTTTCGTACGAATTTTACGAGCAGATTACGATCTCAATACCCTGAAAATTCATACAGTATTGTAGACATCTCTAGGATGGCCGGTAAAGATTGGGAAAGCCAGCCGACTACAGTCAAGCAGTACTTTTGCGCTTTGTCTAAATTGGCTGACAAACGACATAAAGAAACCTATTCTGACTACACTTTCAGGCCAGAAAAATCAAAGCGAAACAAAAGAAAGAATTTGCTGTTTAAAGAAGTGGATAAAGCTAAACTTATACAAGATGGAAACAACGCCACTAAGATGACAAGAGACAACATTCAGTTGGATAACTCTGTTCAACTGAATGCAGATAATGCAGTCGAACAAGGCTCTGTTCAACAAAATGAAAACGAAAATAAACACTTTCAACTGTCGCCGGACGAATATGTTTCATTGAGTAGATTTGTACATGAGCAACCGAACGAATTTGAAGAACTTTCAGTTTCGGATGAATATACTCTATTGGTCGATTCTGTTCCTTTGACCAATCACATCGAATACGATCGACTGCATGAGTATACACACGTTGAATTATCGACTTTATTGGGTACATTTCTCCATGAACACGGTCAATTTGTTGCTTATGGTCAATACGCTCCATCAAATGAACTGGTTTCGCATATTGATGAGCAGTACGACTCACTGATCAATGAAAGTCTGTTCACTAATGGGTTTGGCATACCGGGTAATGAACGCTATGACGTTCAACCCTCCCATGACGTAATTAGTGCCGCAACTGATGTCAACCACATGTTTTGTTCAAATGATATGCTAAACCGCCCATTGTGATGAATATTCTTTCGGAGAAATTGACACAAACTCGCTCAAACACCTGGCGTTTCATACGGGAGACAGCAACTAGTCGGCCGGTTAACGAATGGTTGCTTTACCCGTCTGTTTAATTATCTAAGCTTTTTTTTTTCCTGTTTTTCTCTCTTCAATAACAAACGAGAAGACAAATTTATGCTTACATTAAGCCATTATGCTTTAAATTTGTTGACATTTTTATCATAAGATACTAGCAAGAAGGTGTAACTATAGACTACATTCTTAACATTTTATCAACATAACGTTGGCATGTTCATCATATATCTAATAAGTTAAGCTGTAGAGAATAGTTAGCATTGTCGCTAATAGTCATTATAAGATCTAATAATATGTAGACTATAAATAAGTTATATAGTAAACTCAACTTGTGTATGTTGCGAATGCAGAGTGAAACTTATATGTTTATGCGTTTTACCTATGCTCAATTTACAATAAGAATAATATTTAAAAAACTTACTAGTAAATTTTACAGAGTAAGAGTCATGTTTACGACAGTGTGGTAGGCAATTCGATTATTATTTAGGCAGAAATTGAAAAGCTTGCTGAAATAGCAAAGCTTCGGACATTTATATTGGATTAATTGCGGTTCGAAATGCAATACGCATATGATACCATACACATACGCTAGTACCAAATTAGTTAGATGTAGATTTAATACACTTTTGATCATACATTGGATGACAACCCTTCGGAGAAGTACACGAATATAGAAAGACGTTGCCACTTTCAACCAAAAAAACTATATTGTATATGTTGTATGTCAGATCGGAATTTATGTCAATTCCGAAGTGATATGTGTCAGATCAGAATTTGATATCGCTTATTAAAAATTTGAGCGGAAAAATTGTTTATCTTAGAGTGATTTTATCTTAAAGTGACTTTGTTTTATCGAGTAAATAATATATTGTCGTATGTCAGTTTGGAAGCGACGTAAAATTCTGATCTGACATAAATTCCGATCTGACTTACAGTACAACATATACGCTATGTAGTTAATATTTAACTATTGGTATAACCTCGTAAATGAAATTGTTTATTGTTTACATGACTCAAATTTGTAATCAACTTTAGCTGACATGCATTTAAGCCTCTTGAAATGAAGACTTTTTTATTACTTTTTATATTACCGGACGCAAATTTTTGACCGATAATTTGCATCTCGGTATGCCCTTTAAGCTGTTATTTGCTTACTGTCTATATACAACGCATTAAGCTTCTGTGTCTATATTTAGTTGATATCGACAGACTCTTAATATTAAACGTAATCAAGTATTATACTACAATTTGTAATAAGTCTGATGATACTAATTTGTTTATTCCGTAAATATAAACAACAAGATAATTTGTTGTGTAAGTATTATGCCAGCAGGCATGAGAAAAAAAATTAGCTGCAATTATCAGTCAAAGCATAAGGCTGTTGATAAATTTACCGTGCGCCAATTAGAAAATTATGACTATTTAAATTTTAAGTCACTTATGACTTTGGACGTTGGGGGAGTGTGTACAGAGGGTAGAGTAGACATAGTAGTAAGGTTCATACGCTTGATGGACAAAGTTTGAATCCAAGCCATCCATACATAGCATTTATTTCAGAAGTGCGCTCTTTAAAAGACCGGTTAGCAAAAGACAAAAAGCATCATAAAAATTTGCAAGAAAATAATTAACCAAAGTCGAAACTTTAATATCCGGATGACCAGTCATTATTAGCAATACATTTTTTAATTCTTTGAGGGCATCTATCAACACATTTTAACTAAAACCCAACGTAGTCACACACGTTAGTTATAATTATAGAACAAAAAAATGTAATGATTGAATTTGAATTTTTATTTCCGGGGTCAATTATTTAAACCATTAGTCTCAAATATTAATTAGAAATATTCGCTTTTTGATCTGCGAACATTTCCATGGTATTACGATTATCTGTCATTTAAGTATGAGTATAAACGCATTTTTAGATAGCTATCATATCTTTGAATACTATAATTTCCGAAATAGTCTTATCGGAAAAAAAGTGAGCAGTAAAGCCTTTTAAAAGATACTAAAAGCACTCGTGTTTACCTAAGACTAGAAAAGCGATCTCTTAATTCAAAACGACTAAATTCTAAGGCCAATTAGCTTAACAGTTTTTATTTTTACCAAAATCTTATGCTTAGAATAGAACTATAAAAAGCTGCTCTCAGAAATTAATTAACTACGACTACTGATGTTTTAAAATACCTCTTAGTTTACCATAACCAATCACTCTCTAATGTGACTAAGTATTTTATATGGAGCATATTGTAACTGATATATTTTTATTATTATAAATTGTTAATTAATTTGCTATTTAATACTCAATGTAAATATTAAATATTTCTCTTCTTCATATTAGTATAAAAAATTTTATAACTCGTATTTGGCAAATACAATTTATTACCCAATTTACAATACTATATAATTATTAAACCTACTTCTTACCACCTTTATACAACTCAATCTTCTCTCTTATTTTTGCCTTTACTGCTGACCCATTTTCATAAAAAGTATACACCTTACTTCTAGCTTTACTATATCCCTGTTCAGCTGCTCTTTCATATAATTCAAGCGCCTTTTTAATATTTGCTTCTACTCCAACTCCATTTTCATAATACAGACCAAGCATATATTGTGCATAAGGACTTCCTGCTTTAGCTACCTGTTGACACAAGTCAATTATAGGGTTAATGCCTGTCATAATTCCTGCTGCTATTCTGCCATAATGTCTACCATTTTGAACATGTATTGACATATGTGCTTGTTTTACTGCATTCTCATACAACTCAACTGCCTTTTGTTCATCTTTTTCTACTCCAGTTCCATAATAATAACAATCAGCAAGATTATATTGAGCACTGGCATCTCCTTGTTCAGCTGCTTTTTGATACCATTCAACTGCCTTTTGTTCATCTTTTTCTACTCCAATTCCATATTCATAACATACACCAAGATTAAATTGGGCACCAGCATGTCCTTGTTCAGCAGCTTTTTTATACCATTCAACTGCCTTTTGTTCATCTTTTTTCACTCCAGTTCCATTATAATAACAATTAGCAAGATTAAATTGAGCACTGGCATCTCCTTGTTCAACTGCTTTTTTATACCATTCAACTGCCTTTTGTTCATCTTTTTCTACTCCAATTCCATATTCATAACATACACCAAGATTAAATTGGG